CCCATTATGGCCGCCCCATTGTGCCCGCAGGCTCATTATGTCCGCCCCATTGTGTTCGCAGGCTCATTATGTCTGCCCCATTATGTCCGCCCCATTGTGTCCGCAGGCCCATTATGTCCGCCCCATTGTGTCCGCAGGATGCGATCGTTAATCAATAAAGTCTCAGGTATTTTGTTTTCAAAAGCTTTCCTTTTTTAAAATTCCTTGCAGGTATTTAAATGTATACTGTTATTCTTCCACAACGGATCAGTGTTGGGTCATGTTCCTAATGAAAAATGAAACAATAAAACAAAAGTTTACTTATTCTGGGTCAAAACGGTCCTGTGCGGAAAACTTTGTGCATAATTCCTTGTAATGGGTTTCATGGAAATGTACATACATGTAGATAGTTGATGCAATTCATGAGAAAAAGCTTTACTTTTATGAGTAAGTGTGAGTTTGTCTTGCATTCAATTGGGGACCATGAACAATAGAGGACAATAAGGTCCCCGATTCACATAGGGTCCCCGAATAAAAATTGTGCACAAAAACATATGGGTGGTCTTTTAAAAGAGTTGAAGTAAAACAAAAGAGGAACAATAGGGGGTCCCCAGTTGCAGGAAAATTGTGTGTGTGCGAGTGTATAGGGAAGGGGCGTAACAAGTCGCCCTACACGTATGTTTCTCCCCCATTCAACGTGTGGAAATTAACGACTTCGACCGTGGGAGACGGTTACTTGACCCACGGCCGGACCCTCGTGAACCGTATGGAAATGTCCTTAGCAACTTGCCAATCCTCTGTTGAGCCTTCTCGTTTTGAAGACTTCTTTGCACAAAGTTAATAAACGGATTGAAACTCTTTGTGTTTGCCCTAGAAGGCCTTAATCGAATAAAAGACAAACAGAATTGGAAAAGAAACACGAACAAAAATTGAAATTTAGCCTCAAAGTTTTGCTAAGATGATAAATAATTTCCATTTTCAATCAATCACTTCATCTTTTTCCACAAAATTTCTCATTTTTAGATGTTCTCCCAAAACAGTGAGACACTGCATACGACTGGCCAGAATTTCAACCACACGATACAATCAGTTCTATGTACATGCAGATATATATTTTGGTTCGAATTCCATGAGTTTTATTTGATACTTCTGCGCAAGGCGATCTGTTCGTGTTTTATATGCCCAAAACCGATCCAGTACACTTCGGGTTGTTACCGCGGCGTACACGTGCATGTGCAGGTGCAACGAAATTCTCGACCGTTGGAGGAAGTGTACGTGTACATGCTCGTGTGGTTCATACTCGCACAGTACATGTAAAACTCGGGATATATTACAGTAGTGAAAGTAAAGAAACTGAAACCTGTCAAGCCAGTTCATATTCTGTTTAATGTGTTCTTCAAAGTTAATTACCGTTGCAGGTTGAAGCATATCAAGGTTCAGTATTAATTTCACGTCAAGTTTGCAGTCGTATTCGGTGGTTGCAAACTGTACTTTCATTTTGAGTACATTTTATACTTTATGAATGTTTAACTTCAGAACTATTCTTTGGGATCAAAATGTCATTTGCACCTTATTATTGGCTGTAAATCATTGCTGGTTTTAGTCTCATTCGAACCTGTCTGGTTAGCGAATGTTCTTAATATTGAAAGTGTTGATAAATGAAGTAGTACTGATATTTAAATTAAAATTTCATAATTAAAGATCCGAAACGAAGGCAGGGAAAGGAAGTATTCCTGGGTTTTAGGAGAGGTTTGAAAAGTAAAAATAACTAAACTTCCTGATTTCAATGTTTTCGTGTGGTTATAAAGAAAAATGGTTAAATTTGCAAAACTGAAACCTATTACATCTGTTATTTATAGTCAACACAGATTCTGGAGTTTGTTTGTTTGAAAAGCTGATAACCGATGTAATGAAAATTCTGTCTGATTCGATTACAGTTTGTGTTCATATTCTGGGGTTTATTGTATTTCATTTTCTGGTATGCTATGTACTCTTTACGTATTTGTTCACTTTCAAAAATGATTTTGTACACTCACAAATATTATTTGCACCTAGGTTTTCCGTTGCTATTAGCCTTGATTTATTACTGTTCTTAGTCTCAATAAAACGTGTCGGTTAAGACATTACTCTTAAAATGTTTGAACATAAATTGGTTCACCTCAGCGTTATTAGTCAGCTAAGGGTTTCCGTTTTAATTAAAGGATCCATAAAACGAGGTTTACTTGGAAGCACTTTTTGTGTATCTCTGCACTCTTCTTTGATGTATGAAGACTGTGTGACATCCTTTTTGAGTTGCAAGAGTTACACGATAAAAACATTTAAAATTGACCGAGCATTTGCAACATAGAGATTGCTCACAGGTTTCCCTGTGAATGTGCACATTGCATTAAAACTTTAAAAAATCAAAAATATGAGTTAAAATTGCCAAAACATATCCGCCAGTTTGATTGAAACCCTAAGGTGCAATTTCAAGGGTTTTATTAAAATATTTCTATGATGATCCCTCTGAGCGTGCACAATGCAAATAGTGTCCGCTTCTTTTCTGAACACCAAACAAATGTATACGAAAGACCGACGAAGTTTGCAAAAACGATTATAAGTTTCACTTGTGTGACTGGCCCGTCACTACCATCTCTTGAAAACCTGAATATTCAGACAGAAAATGAATGATTCATAGAGAAGAATCGGTATGTTCCATGTCATTATAAAGGATACAGAATTGCAGAAAGAATGGGCCTGCAGACATAATGGG